TTGTTTTAACTTACAATATTCACATTATTTAAAAGCAGCCCTTTCTTTTGTCCTCAGAACACTGCAGAGCCACATTTTTATATCTCATGTCATCAAATATTAGCATATGGTCTCATCCTCATTCAAGTTTTCTGTAGTTTTAATGAAAAGTATGCCGCAGTGATAGGCGGGGTTTGTGACCAGTTCTCTGACTAGAAATTCCTGTTACACCTGTGGTTGCAGCAAATTCATTACGTCTGCTCATACTTTTGCAAGTGAAATAAGGCAAGGTTTCTTTACAACAGTAATTTTTTTCTTCCAAAAGGGCTGCAGGGTTGAGAGCAGATTGCTTTTACCACAACCCCCTTATCATACTAGAGATATTACTGTATGACAGATTCATAAATTCACTGTTGAGGAGCTTCAGGCAAAACAGAGGAGAGAAGAGGCAACAAATGTATTGAGTAAGTAATGCCACCCCCAAACTAGATTATAGGCAAAAAATAGTTTATTGCCATTATTCATAATCGTCATTTCTGGTTCTTACTGTGTATATGTTGAATGCTTTGTAGGAAAGTTGGAAGAAATGTTCCCAAAGAACTTGCCCTCACAGTACTTGATTTTGAATGTTCATATTTTGCCTTTTTTATTTCCTTTTGTCATGGTGAGCAGGCTCCCAAAAAGCTAATTTTCTGGTGTGAAATGGAGAGAAATAAGTGGATCTTTGGAAGAGGAAGAACTGCAAGTTGAGTAGGGAGCAGTTGTTTATTTGATTTGTCAAGGGGAAAGTTCAGATAATTATCTAGAATATTGTGAAGCTTTGCCTGTCAGCCTTGATACATAATGAGAATGTGTTGGTAGATATCCAGAGGGAAAATTGCCTTGAATTATCGCATTGAATTTTATGTGCTACTGTTTCTTTTCGAATGAATAAATATAGAATAGTTGTGTGTGTGACTCTGGTTGCGTGTGTGCATGATGAGCCAAAACCAAAACTGAGAAATGATCTACTTCCACTTCTTGCATAACAAGATGGTTTCTCTCATGTATTCAGAGACAGAAATGCGCCATGACATTATTACGGTACCAGTCTCTTCAGTGTCTCTATGAACACAAAGGGATTGTTTCCAGCATAATCATTTGGGTGAATTTCCTGGAGGAGAAAAGAGATTTCTTTACTTTCCAAGAGAGGGGGACCATTTTGGCACATGCAGACTTTGTTTCTATGTTTCATGCCTATGTCACCCTATGTCTCTTCATAAACTGAAACTTATTAAGAACACTTAGATACAAAAACATTACAGTAATATGCTGATATCTTCATTCTTTGCTCACCGTTTTTTAATTGTTTTTGAAGGCTGCTTGAGACTGCCCTTCTCTGCAGGAAATATCATTGTAGTTGTGATGCACAGAAACTTCTCAACTTACAGAGAGGGGCTTTTTCAGTGGTGGACCACTTGAGTTTGAAACTTGAACCCTTTTGCTTGGGTCAGAAATGTCTTGAATCCAACCTTCACTCATCATGCTGAAAACCCCTTTATTTACACAGTATTTATGGGAGATGAGTAGGAAGGTCCCATGGGGAGGATGCTGGGGAGAAGACTAGGAGGTTACCTGTGAAATGAGTGCATTATTGTTTTTGCCCAAGCGATTTAGGAGCAAATTCGCTTTGGCTTTCAATGGAAGTTTAGGAAGATTTTTATAACCTTCTGTCCCCTTACTTTTTATGTAAAAATGAAGTATAAATAAAATGACCAAATACAGTAATTCTGCACAAACAGGATTGTTTAACTCCTATAACCAAAAGTCAAAAGAATCCCATAGACATGATCTGAAATTATTATAGTGTACAATAGTGAAGATATTAAGTATATTCAAACATTTTCCTCCAATGTTCTTTTGCAAGAGATTGTGATTCAAATATGGTTGTCAAAGTTCTCTTCTTCCAGCTTTTAGAAATGGCAAACCTACTTAGAAGCTCTACCTATGTTCAGATTTTTGTAAGTCTAGCAGTAGTTCTTCAACTTTTGTCATTGTGACATTAATTAAAATGAACAAACTTCAGCCCATCCAACCTCTGGGAGGACTGACCAGTGTTTATTACAAATCATAGTAATTGCATTATCTTTTTGACTGCCTTTCTAGCTGAAGGTTCACAGTCTATTAGCACTAAGTTTTAAAAAAGAAAATGGGGAACTTGGACCTGAATCTTAATTCCAGCCTTACTTATTGCATGACAGAATGCGATTTGTTAAAAATATAAATTAGTTCTCACTGTGTAAATTTCACCACTTTCTAATCTTTCCCTCTAATTTCTATATTGATTTGAATTAATTGTTATTCAAGGACTCACAGTCTCTTCCTTGTGACCTTCTATACTTGATTTGAATTTTAACTGCTGGTTGTCTCGCTTTTTTTTCAGCATCCATTACTATCTAGAGTGAAAATGTTTGTAGGGTAAGAGTAGTTGAGTTGAACATGCTTTCTAAAAGTCTCATCATTTGGAATACCTTATTTTAAAAAATTATGTTTTGATAGAATTGGGTTAAAAAAAGAATAAATATTATGTAGTCGCTGGGCTCTGGAACTGGTCTGGCTTAGGCATGTAATAGCCAATTCCAGGCATTGACCATAGGCTTCTTGCGTGACCACAGATAAGTCTCTTAAGGTGCCTATACACATGCATCAAGGCTGCTCCGACGCGCTGTAATTACACTGTGTTGGAGCAGACTCAATTAATCAAGTCTGCTGGAGCATGGCACTTACTGCACTCCAGCGTCACATGTATCAGCGTCCCCACACTGAAAAATGGTGGTGGGGCTACTTTAACTAAAGCTCATTTGATGAGTTCTAAGAGCTGCTCTAATTAAAGCCCCCCACCCCAGCCTCCCAGAGCACATGTATAAATGTCCTTAGCCCAAGTCTGTACCACCACCCCTTGGGCCAGCCTGAAGCTCTGCAATAAGAAATAAACCCTGCTTTCTTGCTTACTTGACACATACTCAAGCCCAGCAATTTAGCAGACTAGAGGGTTTATCGGGGTCCTAAACACATGGCCCAGTGCCCCTCTCTGGGGCTAGGACTGTAAGTCATTTACTCTGTCAAACTGTCACCAAGTATGGAAAAGTGAGAGGAGAAAGGGTGGCTTGTTTCTTGTCAGTGGTCTTATGCTTGGCAGGGAAGTGGAATGAACGTAGCCTTAATATCTCTCCCTCCCTACTCAATTTTCTACTTATACAGATCAAAAATGTTACTTCTCCTGCCCAATTCCACAGCATCTCTCCAAGTTTTCCTGGTGAGTAATATATTTATTTTCATGGTGTGCACTGCCTTGTATAACAAAGTCTTGATTTTTGCTGGGTTCTCCAGACTGCAATACCATAAAACATTATGTCTTAATACCAGAGACAGTAGTCTTATGGTAGTCTTATTACTCGGCTTCTAACAACTAAGGGCTAACTTATGTAAGGTGGTCTCATATTATGTACACAATAGGGATCTAAGAGTCTTGCAGTTACTGATTATATAACAAGTCACCTTTGCTTTCCTGTGCCTTCATTTTCCTTCTTGAAATGGGGTTAATAAGAAGAGAAGATAGGTGCTTGTATGAGAACTAGCATTTAAATGGTATCAGATCTTTAGAGAAATTGTGCTATGGAGTCCAAGAGATATCCAGTAATATAGAATCGGTTCTGTATTATAAACCATAAATACTTAATGAGTGCACAAGATAATCTAACTGAAATAGTGAGACTACAACAGATATTTACTCTTTTTATAATTTAACACATTTTATAGAAAGTAACCCAGGCTTTAAATTAACCTCTTCTTTCCTGTATAATGTGTTTTTTGTTTTCAGTCACTATTCTGTAGTCCCCCTCCCCATTTATAAGAGACTTGTACAAAAACTAAATACTGTGCTTACTTACTGGCAAAAAGTTTAAGCTAAGCACAAACTACTATTTGTTGTGTGTGTTGGGGTTTTTTTAAATATATAAAGTTGTTGATGAGCAAAAAGATAAACTTTATTGGAGAGGCAGGGGAAAGCATAAGAGGTACTAAATGGGAAGGTAGAAGAACTATATCTGAGTTCAAATTGTAAAAGTACACATGGTAAATGAAAAAACAAAACGAAACAATGGACAAATTGGGTGTGTACTTGGTCTATATTAATAGTTGCCTTCCCAAAACTGTTCTATTGTGTCTAATAGGCAGATCTAGGCAAAAATTATCATGGACTGGAATTTTGACTCATCTTTTGTTGCTCTGTTGAAAATGGATTTTGCTACATCTCAAAGGACTGAGGGGGGCTGAACTTAAAAAAAAAGATTTTTTTATTCTTTTTTTTTTTTTAATCTTCCCACCGTTCCTGGGGATTCTAAGTTCCCACAGCACACCGTGCTGTATGAAATGTCTACATGATCTTGGGTCTCTATAAATTTCCAACCAGCACTTTGGGACTATCTTGCCAGAGTGAATTTCAAAACTAGGGCAGCCAAGAAACTGCCTAGAACAGGGATACAGAATCAGTTATTTATTCTGAGCCATAAATACTTAATGAGTGCATAAAATAGTCCAACTGAAATATAGTGAAACTGTAATTGAGATTTACTCTTTGTCTACTTAGCTGATATAGTCAGAACTGTGAAGGACACGAATAAGTGATCAGAACAGCATGCTCTTGTACCATGACAATGTTAAGAGTTCTTTAGCGATAGCTGCTGGGGCCCACAATTAACTTAGTCATAGTCCATTTTTCAGTTATTACAGACTTCCAATTAGAGTAATTTACCATGTGTGATTTGTTTTCAGCCTTTTGATTCAGAGTTAATTTAATCCTGTGGCTTTTGGGACCAGTGATAAGGTGTTAATGCTAGTATCTCCCACTGCTAGACTGCCAGTTTGTTTGCTCTTGAGACGGATGACCGATCATTTGACATGACTGGCTGAAAGTGTTCCTTCCAATTATCTGAGTGACTGACAATCCAATAAAGGATTATACATAAAAACATCCTTACTTACATATAAATCAGATTGATCAGCAAACATGGAAATGTATTTGATTCTCTCTCTCTCTCTCAGCTGATGTACACAAATAATCCATAAGTGTGATTTATTAGTCCCACTTGTCTTATCTCGTATGATCAAACTATAATCAATAACAACTATGACTCTTTCAAACAGGAGATTTATAGACCTTGGGCATAGTGTAATAGCCAACATGCACATAAAAATCAGTACAAGATGCCTTTACTTTTTATACTCAAGTGTCCTTGAAGCACAGCAGCTAGACTGGATTTCAGATCACAAAATAGAGATAAACAGGATTATAATAATCCTAAATCAAAGAATCAGGGGGAAAAATTAATGGATAGTATAATCACAACTCCAGTTTAAAGTGTAAAGTGAGTGATTCTTCTTTACTGTGTACAGAGGGTAACTTTTTAGTAATGTAAACATGTCT